CTCCCCTGTGACTGATTAAAATGAATAGATTGTGCATCATTTTAAGTAGTTAGAAAACCAGCCCCTAATTCTAAAGAACCTCAATATGTGCATGTTTGTTTCCTTATATGAGTGTCTGCCACATCTCGAGGCTGTTTACGGTATACTTCCCCCTCAGTGGGAAAGAAGGGGAGCCTTTTCACAGGATGCCACTGGGGTGCGTGAGATCCTGTGGAAAGTAAAATATAAATTTGTAATCATATGCATTACTTTTACATTTTCTTTCAAAGAGCAAAAAATGCAATTTTGACAGGTAAATTTCACTTAATGATCACCCCGAGGCTGGTTCAGTAATACTGGAATATGTTGTTGAAATCATTATCATAAGAAGTTTACCTGGCTTTAGGCAACAGGCTTTTGCCCTCAACATTAAGATATGGAAGTAGGACAGAGCAGTGCATGCAAGCAGTTCCTCCTTTTGTTTGCGATAGATTGAGTGCTTATCACAGGACATCCCGGTCCCTCGGCAGTTTTATCTCAGGATGACCCATATTTGGATAACACAAGGAATATGCAAAATAAATTGCTTTGTAATGTTGTAATAATATAAAAATGTGGCCGGATGGTTCTTTGTTCTGTTGGGATGGATGTTTTTTTTTCTCCTGCAGCTGGCCAAAAGATTTAAAGTGTGTATGAATCACAAAATTCAAGGCACTGTTGGTACTTGAGAAGAGATTATATAGTGCTATAGAGTTACAGTTATAAACGTTCCAGCTATTTAAACCGGTATTGTTATAAGAAGATGAGGGGGAATCAGTCTTGCAATAACCTATTGGATAGTATTAAGAGTCAGGTCAAAATACACAAGAAACAAATAGCATCAGAAATCTTTTGCCAGCATATATTGAGTCTCTACACAAATACAAAACACACAAAATCCTGTCACATAAAATGTTCACTATAGATATGGTCAATGTCCAAAATAAAAGTGTGGTTATATAAGTAGGAAATGTCCACCAAAGATGTTGAGAGAAGAAACCATTTGGTAAAAGAGAACAGCCAATGTTATAAAGTCTTATCTTTTGAAGGGTAGATTGATGAAATGATAAAATTAAATAGATGTCCTTGTTGGGGTAGGCCAGTAGTCCTTTGAAAAAAGTCCTTGGGCAGTTGCAATACTGCACCCAAACTCCAACGTTCTGCACTCCACACGGTAGCATAAGTTTGCAGGTAAAACAAAATCCTCTACTAAAGAAAACAACTCATTAACTGTCAAACAAACTCACCAAACACACACAACCCACAAAACATTTGAATAAGCAACTTTCCCCAAACAATAACCCTCTCAAATTCTACACAATAACAAAAGATGAAAAATAAAGCAAAAAACTCATGGTTGAGCAGCAAAACAAATGTTTCTCAAACCAGGACCCTCTAGAGAAACAGCAGATGCCATGAGGTGACACAAACTGAATCTGCCTCTCATTCTACTACTTCCTCTTTTATTCAAAATGGGGATATGCTATTGGTGTCCCCTAGTGGTCAGGATGAACAAAGCACTAAAATTAAATACATTAAACCATGTAACAAGATGTGACTGTTACATATCTCCACCCTCATTTGGAAACATTATCAACAGTCCCATAGAAGGGCTTCAAATTTTGTACATGAAAGGTATCAACATGATCCGGATAATCTATAAATGACAGAGAACAATTAACAGGGCCAAGACATTTGACAATCCTAGCAGGACCTTTCCACTTCATGTGAATCCATCGCTAGCACGTGACAAAGGATGAGTGTGAACCCAAACCAAATCCCCAACTTTGTAATGAGCAGGCCTTCGGAGGTCATAGTACCGTCTTTGCTTTGTCTGAGCTCGTTCCACGTTTCTTTGCACAGTTCTTATCAGCTCTTTCTGTCTTTCTAACACTGGGTACGCTGGACTGTCTGGGTCATGAGGTCTATGTATGGCTCTTTCTAGAGGTCCTTTCAGTTTCCTGCCTAGTGTGACTTTAGCTGGAGTAAATCCCATGCTTACCTGCCAAGCTGTGTTTATAGCAAAACGAAACTCTGCCAAACATCTGTCCCAGTGCCGATGGTGGTCTTGAATGTAGGACGAGATCATGGTCTTAAGAGTACGGTTGACCCTTTCCGTGAGGTTAGTCTGGGGATGTGCTGTAGTAGTCAACTTCTGGATGACACTCCATTGCTAGACTGAGTAGCTGGGAAGTAAATTGGGTTCCTCGATCAGACACTAAATACATTGGAGTTCCCCACCTAGTAAAGATCTCCTCTATCAAAATGCGAGCAATTTGAGGTGCTTTAGCCATACGCAGCACCCATTTTGAACAGTAGTCTACGACAACAAGGAGGTGCTCATTTAATTTAGAACTCTTAGGCAATAATCCCATGAGGTCGATCCCTAGCATATGTCCAGGTTCTACCACTGGGGTTGACTGCATATGGCCGGCTAATTTGAAAATTTAAGGTTTGTGTTGTTGACAGACCTGACATTCTTTGCAATACTTCCAGATGTCAGAGCGCAGTGTGGGCCAATAACAGATATCTACTAACCTCAGTAGAGTCTTGAGCCTACCAAGGTGCCCACTTAATGGGTTGTCATGTGCATATGCGAGGAAGTCTTTTTGTAGGCAAGCAGGAATGACTAGCTGTAATTTGGGTCCTTTCTGTCCATCAGGCATGCTACGGAAAAGAAAGCCATTCTTTAACAAGTAATGGATACGTGTTGAATCGGGATCTGTGAGTGACCTGGCTTTAACGGCGAGTTCCTGGACTTCTGGGTCGTCCTGTTGTGCTCTAGCAATGTCAGACCATTCAATCGGAAAACTGGAAAAAGAGGTGGCTGAGTCTTGTCATTTGATATGGGCTATCTGAGGGAGCGAAGCAGTCTCTAAGAGACTGCGCAAAAGAGTGTTTGGCACGATGTTGCACTGACCTTTGCGATACTTGACACTGAAATCAAATTCTTGCAGTCGAATGGTCCATCGGGTCAGTCTGGAAGATGGCTTTGGGTGATTAAACACCCACGTGAGAGCCACATGATCAGTTATCACTTCAAATGGTCTGTCTTCTAAATAGGGTCTCCATTTCTCTACAGCCCATATGACGGCACAGCACTCCTTTTCTGAAACTTAATATGACCTTTCAGCCCCAGGCAGCAGGCGTGAAGCATATGCTATGACTAAGGGTGTGCGATATATATCGTCTGCGATAATATCGTAATTGTTGTTTTAACGATGTGCAATTTGACATTATCAAGTATTTTGCAAAAACCAAACAAAACACCTACGGAGTGCACGCATACATTACGTGATGAAGTCATGTCAGTGCACGTGCGCATTTAGAGAGTGTTTTTTCACTGCATGATTCAGTCTATTAAAATGCATTAAGAAAGATCACAAAATTCAAGATATGGGGGCAGAAAATGTACATATTTATATAATTTAATATAGTTAAAATCACTCGAAGAGTGATGTTTTTTCTTCAAAAATAAGCATGATTACAAATGTGATACTGATTATATACAACAGTTCAATAAACAATAAGTTAATATTAAGAGACTTACGTTTTAGACACCATATTGCCTGTTTTTTTGCTCTATTTCGCCAACTGAAAATAATTCAAAACAGCCACCACAGACCAGTTTTGCGTCTCCAAGCAATGACGGTGTTTCTTTCCTTGAATCAACCGTTTAAATGATTCAGTTCAATCGCAATGACTCACTTGTTAACAGTGACTTGCTGCCACCTACTGGCGATTTTAATTTCACATTTAAAGTATCCATTTTTTAAATAATTTCAAACATCAGTATTCAATGTTTTATGTTTAAAATATCAAAAAACTATGCATTTGTAACTGCAGGTTAAAGCACTCCATGTCCCTCTAAGCTGAATTAAATAGCGTGTAAATACATCTAAATGCCACTTCAGATGCAACTTCTGCAAATATTAATTTTGTTGATACTGGTTTAATTTGTTTGGTAACAGCCTAAACAAATTAACAGCCTAAATGTCTTATTATTCTAATTGACTGATTAAATGTAACAATTTGACTCAAAAGATGCACACTTTTAGAAAAAATGGCTTTATTAAAGGTAAAAATGCCCATAAAAGGTAAAAAAAATCTATTTAAACTTATATGAAAAGATTAATTTCTGTTCACTGATGTGAACTGACCACACAGAATGAAGAATATCAAAAATTGCAGCTGCCCATGGTATTCAGATATCAGCACAATAACACACTCGGCAAAATATCGTCTAATTATCGTTATCGAAAATATCCCACAAAATATAGAGATATTATTTCTTTTCAATATCGCACACCCCTAACTATGACATGTTCTACTCCTTCTATCTCTTGTGTCAGAACGGCTCCTAAACCCACATCGCTAGCGTCGGTCTGAACTTTGAAAGGCCTTGTCAAATCAGGGGCAATCAAGATATGAATTTTGACATTCTTCAGTCCAAATCCAAGTTGCTCCTTTCCTTTTTAAAGCATGCAATGGTGCCGCTTTATCCGAAAATTTTGGAATAAACCTTTAGTAGCATCCTGCAAGACGTAGGAACCATTGTACCTCCTTCAGACATTGAGGGATAGGAAATTCCATTCCAACCAAATGATCCGATGGTAGCTGCTCGCATTGCAGCCTGTCTGAGAGACATTTCTAGCTGGATGAAGGACCATCAACTTCAGCTCAACCTTACTAAGACAGAACTGCTTGTGGTTCCAGCAAACCCACCGTTTCATCACAACTGCTCTATACAGCTGAGTTCGTCAACCATAACTCCTTCCAGGACAGCCATAAACCTAGGAGTTGTGATCGATGATCAGTTAAGCTTCACAGACCATATTGCTACAACGGCCCGGTCCTGCAGATTTGCCTTATACAACATTAGGAAAATTAGACCCTTCCTGTCAGAGCAAGCCACACAACTTCTTGTCCAAGCTCTCTCTCCAGACTGGACTATTGTAATGCTCTCTTGCCGGGCCCTGATCCAGAATGCAGCAGCGAGAGTGGTCTTCAATGAGCCAAAAAAAGCTCACGTTACTCCTCTCCTCATCAGGTTACACTGGCTACCAGTAGCCGCTCACATCAAATTCAAGGTACTGATGCTTGCCTACTAGACAACCACTGGCGCTGCACCAATATACCTAAACTCGCTAGTTCAAACTCATGTGCCCTCCAGAAGCTTGCATTCTGCAAGTGAACAGCGCCTTGTAATGCCATCCCAAAGAGGCACAAAATCACTCTCACTGACCTTTTCCTGGGCTGTGCCCAGCTGGTGGAAAAAACATCTAAAGACACATCTTTTTGGCCAGCACCTGACCAACTAATACTAGCACTTATTTATTCTATTCTGTTCTGTTCTATTCCATTCTATTATAAAAAAACAAAAAAAAAACTAGCTACGTGTACTGTGCTAGACTAACTGAGACTTGTCATGACACTTGTATACTGTTGTTGTTCTCTCGTTGGTCTGATTGCTTCTATTGTTCTCATTTGTAAGTCGCTTTGGATAAAAGCGTCTGCTAAATGATTAAATGTTAAATTGAGTAACAGCTTCTACCTTTGCAGGGTCAGTTTGAATTCCGTCCTTGGATACCCATATGTCCCAAGAATGTCAAAGATCTTTGCATGAGATTGCACTTCTGGAGATTAAGAGTAAGCCCTGCTTTGAAGAGACAGTGAAATATTGCCTGCAAGTGGGTTAAATGTTCTTCTTCCATCTTAGAATATACCACAATGTCATCGATGTACACGAAACAACTCTTTCCCTTTACATCCTTCAGCATTAATTCCATCAGTCGTTGAAACAAAGCAGCAGCATTTTTGAACCCGAAAGGTAAATGAAGAAATTCAAACAAACCTGATGATGTAATGAAAGCGGTCTTGGGAATGCTTTCAGGTTCCATTTCAACCTGCCAATACCCGCTTTTTAGATCTAGGGTACTGAAAATTGCAGCTCCATGAAGAGTCCTCTAAAGTCAACACAGAATCTTTGTCCTCCTCCTTTTTTGGGTACAAGGACAATTGGAGCAGCCAGGGAGATGTTGAGGGCCGAATTATTTTCTTATCAAGCATCATCTTTATCTCTTGATCGATAAAAAGTTGTTTCTCAGGAGATAATCGATAGGCTTTCCAGCGAATGGGTACTTCATTAGTGGTTATGATGCGATGTTTGACTACATTGGTGTGGCCTATCTCATTGGTGCACACTGTGGGCCAATCTTTCATGAGCTGCTCAAGTCGTGACTTTAGTTCCAGAGATGTGTCTGCATTGGTGACTAACTGATGGATAAGTGAGTGGGTCTCAGATGACTCAATAACACTCAAGGACAATAAAGCATTGGTAGAACGGGCAGGGATGAATGAAAATGCTTCTTCTTGGAATCCATTTGTGGCAGACAGAATATGGGTCAAAGACGTTAAGATGTCCGCATCAAAATAAATTTACAAAAGTGATTTTATGTCCATAGAAAGCACATTAAATGCAAGTAAAGTGTCTACATTTAAGGTTTCAAATAAGTTTTTGAAGAATAAAATGTCAAAATTTGGTTGAAATAATGTCCCATTTTCATTCATTGTAACACTTATAGTTATGTAAAAATTCAAACAACATGCTTATTCTGACCTATACATATTAAAATACATAAAAGAATAAGTGAGCTTATTACATTTTATTGGGTTTTAAATTAGTAAAAAATTCTTACTGACAAATGTCAGTAATAGTGGCAAATTTTAAAAATGTAAAATAACAACTAATTAGTATTTGGGGTGAAAATAATTAGTTTTTTAAATATGTCATAAATAGATTTTTGTTGTAAATATGTCTGACAAGATTGTTACACTGAATGACATTTTAGTGGGTGTCTTCTGTAAATTTTTTGCTCAGAAAAACAAAAACAAAAACACAATTACATTAAACAGAAAACTTTTTAATTTTTTAATTTGTCTTTTTTTGGAAAAACAACAATTTAAAGCAGTATTGTTTTTATGCTTAAACCCTTTTTCATCTTTGACCCATATACTGAGCCTTATGAAATCCAAACAAATTCCAGACACCATAAGGAAACAGTAAGATCAACATCCCGTATTATATATAAGGTCAGTGTAAACTTCCTCTGTTGTAACTCACAGTCACATCTCCACTATCCTAAGGCACTTAAAACTTGTCCATTGGCCTGCTGGAAAGTCTGCCTATGACTAGACTCCAACTGTTCTCTGTGCTTCAACTGATTCCAACAAGATTCTTGCATTAGAGTCCGTGAACTCCCTGTGTCAATCATAGCCTGGAAATATCTTCCACGGATCACCAACGGTAGGGTCACCATCTTCAAATTGTTCTGAGCAGGGGTATGAACAGGCTGAATGATACGTGTGGTTGAGGGGTTTGACTTGGTGTTAATGTCTCTGTCAGTTTGGGCTTTTCGTTTCTGTATATCTGCGTTGGCCTGACTCCAGTATTTCTTGGTTTCTTCCAGATCTCTTTCGATTTGCGTTCCAATCCTTACCAACTCACCAAATTTCTTGACAGTTCCCCTCAAGAGACTGGTGAGGCGTGGGTTGCAGTTTCTTAAAATGGGCTGGACAATGTCCTTCTCTGTCATCTCTTTCTTCCACCGTAGACATAGGGCTCGGTAATGGTAGGTGAAATCGCGAATAGACTCTTTAGGGCCTTGCTTCCTCTCCAAAAACTGTTTAGCAGGTTCTGCCTCATAGTCGTCATTCAAAAAAACTTTCTTGAATTGGCTCCAGGTGAAGATAAATCGGCATTCTGCCAGCCACCATATATGAATGATATTAATTCATATCTTTTAGTTTTAAAACTAATTTAAAATTAGAAAATAGTTCAAGCCAGGCCCGAATTGGCTAATCGGGAGCACCGGGAGAATTCCCGGTGAGCCAGTCTTGTCATACCACTGGGGTTTAAATATGGATGCCCGTATTTAAGGCATCAAAGCGTCCCGTATGAAAGCTAATGCAATTTGTCCCGTATTCGCAGGCACGCCATATGATCACCAGACCATATGAATAACAAATTCTCAATTGATAATTAATCATTCTTTGTGCGCAAATTGTTTTATTTGTGAACGTAGCCACTCAAGGAAGGCTTTAAGACCAAGCGGAATCCTCTGCCGGCTGCTCCCACTTCACAGCAAACGGGACTCGCGCTAATGTCAATTCCTTCACCGTCTGCATTTTGATTTTGGCAAATCAGTTTGGGCGAATGCAACTTATTGATCATGAGCCCAACATCCAGCAAGGCAGGAAAACATTCAGACATGAAACTCCAGGGCTGAAAATGAGTCCCACTCCGGCTCTGGTTCCAGCTATTATTGCAAATCAAAAACCTAGTAATAGTATTGTATTATCAAAAATAATAAAATTTTACTATTTATAAAGTAAATATTAAATGAATATATTAATTTAAAAAGTTTGATCAGTAAGATGCTTTAATGTTTTTGAAAGAAGTCCATATGCTCAGTCTGAATTTATTTGATAAAAAATACAATACAACAGTTTGTAAAAATATTGTAAAGTTAATTTTTTTTGTGGAAACATGACTTTTTCAGGACACTTCATGACACAAATTTTTTTTTAAACAAATGTTTTGTAACGTTAATAAAGAGTGTCATATTATATAATGTCACTTTTGATCAATTTAATGCACACTTGCTGAATAAAAGTATTAAGTATTTATTTAAAAAATAAATACATTAATAAAAAGCTTACTGACCTCAAACAGATTGTAACATGTAAAAAAATTTATAGATATATATTTAAGTACATACACACACACACACACACACACACATATATATATATATATATATATATATGTATATATGTATATACATATTACTGTATATAAAATTATGTAGCTAGATAAAGATAAAATGTTGGCAGGGCAAGTAGAAATCTGAACTGCTGCCCTGATCAGTCCTTTAAACATATCTTTGAAATGTTAATCATTACCTTGTTTAATAACAGTCCGAGAATAGACTTAGTATCTTAGAGTTTAATATCACAGTTTATGTAGTACATGCATGTATTTCAGACAAGCCTTGCACAGTTATGCTCTCAAGGGTGCAGTTGTACATCCTTATTGAGATTTATAAAGGCAACAGTCCAAGTTTTGTTAAGCAATAAGCTGTCAAGTGTAAAAAATACCCAGAACCGTTTTCCAGGGAAGTTACTCAATCATTATTTAGGGAATTGGGCAATATTAAACATATATAAAAGGCCAGGAATAGTGGTTAAATTAATTGAGATTTACACCTGATTTCTCCTAGCTCATGTTCTTCCCTCTATCCTGACTAATGCAGAAGTGTGGTGAGGTGGCCAGCATTGAAGGGATTCCATGAGAAACAGGCTAAGAAGGAGTGCTGATTGTTGCTTGTGTTTTGTGTGTAATTGCTTCTACTGTCTGGGGGCCAGTGCTGGGGAGGGTCTGGGTTTGCGTGAGTAATTGAAACAGACTCGTTGACCTCTTGACTTTGGTTGAAAAGTTACGAAAATAAAATATTTGATAGTTACTGACTCCAGCAGCAGACTTTGTTTGACCTGAGGTGCTGTGTGTGTAGCATCAAAGACCCTGCCAAGGTTTGATGTGAACCAGTGTGTGGGGATCTTTAGGGCCAGACATTGACAGACGTTGCATGAGAAGCATGCAGGAACATCATTTGAGATATGATCTTAAAGGGTCATATGATGTTGCTAAAAATAATTATTTTGTGTTATTTGGTGTAATGAAATGTGTTTATGCGGTTTAAGGTTAAAAAAACACATTATTTTCCACATACCGTACATTATTGTTTCTCCTCTATGCCCCGCCTTTCTGAAACATGTCGATTTTTACAAAGCTCATCGGTCTGAAAAGCAAGGTGTGCTCTGATTGGCCAGCTATCCAGTGCGTTGTGATTGGCCGAATACCTCAAGCGTGTGACAGAAATGTTACGCCCCTTACCATACAGTGATGCCTTGTCAGGCCAGAGCGATGAGACAAAAACATGAAAACCCATTATAAACGAGGCATTTGTTGCATCCAGTGGGGACATAATTACGGATTATAATGACTTATACTG